CTCCTCTTCTTTCTTCTTCTTCTTCCTCCTCCTCTTCCCCTTCCCTGCTCCTCAGCTCTTGGAAATGAAGCTGCTCTGAATAACAAGGTCTTCTAGGGCGCTGAACATCTTGTAGGATTAGTGACACATCTGCTTCCAAAACCCGCCAGCCTAAATCCTTATTTTTAACTTAAAATTAAACCCAACATAGAAAAGGGATCATGAGAGGCAAAAGTGAGTGGGATTCAGGTTTGGGGTTTGCAAAATCTCCTTAACCACGGCTCTGCAGTTTCCTCTCCACCTCCAACGAGGCGGTTTATAAGGTGTTCAACGAGACCGCGTGCCAGTTTTCGGGGCAGACCTGCAAACCGGAGGTGAGGCCGTCGGGGAAACTCGTACAAATCTGTCAGAGAGAAGATTGTGTATTACGTGAAAATTATTCGGGTGTAATTCCACCTTTCTGAACTCATTTACGTCACGTCACTGTTTTCCTTCGCGCTGTTGTGTGCGCAATGCTGACTTTTCGGTCTGAGCAAACGCTACCGACAAGTTAAGCGGGACAATGCCTTCCGAAAGTCCAAATGGCTTTGGGTTGAGCAAAAGATGCCGTGGGTCCACCCCGCGACGCGTCTCCACCCGCCGCAGTGCACGAACGTCCGCTGTCCTCCCCAGACCTTCAACAGCAGCAACGTCACCAAGCTGTGCCCCGACGCCCAGTGCCTCTTCGCGTTCTACGGGGGCGAGACGGCGTACCACAAGTACCTCATCATCCTCCAGTTCTTCAACGTCTTCATGTTCTTCTGGCTCGCCAACTTCGTCATCGCGCTGGGCCAGGTGACTCTGGCGGGGGCCTTCGCCTCGTACTATTGGGCCTTCAAGAAACCCGACGACTTGCCCGCCTTCCCCCTCTTCTCCGCCTTCGGCCGCGCGCTCCGGTACGTCCCTCTCGGGGAGGACTCGTGAGCTGCTTGAGGTTGTCCCCTTCTAACTGGCATCTTTCCCAGGTACCACACCGGCTCGCTCGCCTTTGGCTCCCTGATCCTCGCCATCATCCAGGTCATCAGGGTCATTCTGGAGTATCTGGACCACAGGTTGAAAGGTATCGAAGCTGAAATGGCAAACGAAAAGAGGAATGAGGTTGGCTGCTTCTGCTTTCCTTAGTGCCAGGACTCGTGGCTAACGTCCAGGGGAAGAATTCCAGTGTTTCTGTAGAGAATCGAGGTTTTCCTTCGAGGATCCCGTAGTTGTCTCTTCCTCCAAGAGACATTTCACGGGGTGGGAGCCAAGGGAATAAGGGCTAAGTCAGCCAGTCCTGTCCGGGTGCCAGGGAAGGCTGTGTCTGGCTGCAGGACCACGAAACATCAACAGCGAGCATGGGAAGGGCACACCAGGCTCATCCCAGCCATGGCGGCCTCCCAGGGAGGCTGAAACCAGGGCGTAGTCGAGGGGGAAGGAGGTTGTTCCGGGGTAGCCACGTCTCGTTCAGGACCTTGAATTGCTTCTGTGTAAGAAAAGGCGTCTCGCGGTCTGGCCACTAACCCTTTCTCCCCTGGCGCTCCTCCAGCTGCCGATAACAAGTTTGCCAAGTTCCTCCTGAGCTGCTTGAAATGCTGCTTCTGGTGCCTGGAAAAATTCATCAAATTCCTCAACAGGAACGCGTACATCATGGTAAGGGTCTCCCACGATGGGTCTTGACAACGTTGGGGGGGGTCTTTGCGCTCCTTGGGTGGCTGTTTGGGGACTGTGTCTCCCCACATCACGGGAAGATGAAGCTTTTTGGGATTTCCTGGCCGTTTCCTTCGTGGAAGGCCTTGACCCTCAGCCCCTCTACTCTGCCCTGGTGAGACCGCATCTGGAATATTGCGTCCAGTTCTGGGCCCCTCAGTTCAAGAAGGACAGGAACTGCTGGAGAGAGTCCAGCGTAGGGCTACAAAGATGATCAAGTGAGTGGAGCATCTCCCTTCTGAGGAGCGGCTGAGGGAGCTGGGGCTTTTTAGTTTGCAGAAGAGGAGACTGAGGGGAGACCTCATTCATGGTTATAAATATTTCAAGGGTGAGTGTCACAAGGATGGAGCCAGGCTCTTCTCGGTGACAAACAATGATAGGACAAGAGGTAACGGACACAAACTGGAACACAGGAGGTTCCACTCAAACTGGAGAAGAAACTTCTTCTCAGTGAGGGTGACAGAGCCCTGGCCCAGGCTGCCCAGAGAGGTTGTGGAGTCTCCTTCTCTGCAGACATTCAAAACCCGCCTGGACGCCTTCCTGTGTAACCTCATCTGGGTGTTCCTGCTCCGGCAGGGGGATTGGACTGGATGAGCTTTGGAGGTCCCTTCCAATCCCTAACGTGCTGGGATTCTGTGATTCTGTGTCGCTCTGCTTTTGGGAGGGATTTTCTCAGAGACGGCCAGGGTGGGGGGAACCCAGCTCTCAGTGCCTGCAATGCCCACCAGTGGATGAAGAAACACTTCCAGGGTGGGATTTATCCAGGTTTTACTCAAAAATGGGATTAATTGCGCCCTGTTCTTAGCGGTGAATTCAGTGCGGCTCCGTTTCTCTCTTTATTGCCCCTTTTTTTTGTAACCCACCCCAGATGGCCATCTACGGCACCAACTTCTGCACCTCCGCCAGGAACGCGTTCTCGCTGCTGATGAGGAACATCATCAGGTGAGATCCTGGTGCGCACGAGGGCTCCGCTCTCGACCGCAGACTCCGTTATTTCCCCTCCTCGTTTTCAGCCTTTCCTGGCATTTTGTGCCATGTTTGCACGTCGGCCGCCTCCTCCCGCTCTGAATTCGGGATGGGGAGTGGATGCGGACGCTCATCTCTCTGTTTCCAGGGTGGCCGTTTTAGATAAAGTCACGGATTTCCTCTTCTTCCTCGGTAAACTCCTCATCGTGGGAAGCGTCGGTAAGAGCCGGGGACAGGAAGTTTCTCCTCTCTCCTGTTTCCCACATCCCTCCTATGAAAACTGTTCCCATTTTACATCTCCTTCCCTCGACGCGTTTCCCGTTGTTCCTCGCATCCCACAGCGATTTCCATCATTTCCCTTTTCCAGGAATCCTCGCCTTCTTTTTCTTCACCCAGCGCATTAAGCTGGTCCAAGACACCGCGCCGCCCCTCAATTACTACTGGGTCCCTATTCTGGTGAGCCGCTTGCTTCTCTTTCGGTGAATTTAGAAGCGGTGGAAAGAGATCCCGATCGCAAATGCCATAAAACCACCCCCTCCGCTCGCTGGTCCTGAAGGGCTGCCTTTGTTTTGAGGTGTTTTCCCCGGCCCCGTCTAAAGAAGCCCTTTGTTTGGGCCAGCCGCGAAGAGGCGTCTCTCCCTTCCCGTGCTGCCCAGATTGGCCTCCGTCCACCGTCGTCGCTGAGGCCTTTTGTCCCAAATCGAGCCGGTCCCAACAATCCTGCCCTGTTTGCTTCTCCTCCTTTCCCTGGGGAATTTGGGATTCAGCAGCTTTCCTCCTCCCGGATGAGGAACCAGGGGCTTTGCGAGGTGCCAGGTCATGGTGTGACCACGCAATTTCTCTTTCAGACGGTGATCGTGGGCTCCTACCTCATCGCCCACGGGTTCTTCAGCGTGTACGGCATGTGTGTGGACACCCTCTTCCTCTGCTTCTGTGAGTGTCTGCCTCAGAGTCCCATCTCCCGCTGGGTTTGTGGTACCAAAACCTCCCTCCCTTTGGGGCAGAACCCCAGAATTGTCCCGATTTGGGGTTTGCTCCCAATTCCCGTGGCCTCTCCGTGTGGTTTTTCTCCCACCGTTACCAACTCCTACCTGCGTCTGCTTTCCCCGCCTGCTTGCAACGAAAACCTGTCCTTGGGTGTCTCGGTCTTTCTGTTTTGGTGCTTTCCTCTTGGTTGAACTTATCTGCAACTAACTTCAATTTTCCTTCTTTTTTTTTTTCCCCTCCCATTCCTTTCTCCCTCTCATGTCTTCTCTTCACATGTTCTCCATCTTTCATCATCTCCGCCCTGCTTCTCCCTGCTCTTTTTCACTCTTCCCCATCACGGCCGCTTCTTCCCCGGGGGTTTATGAACAAAGGTGAAGATCTGGAGAGGAACGATGGATCTCCCGAGAGGCCTTACTACATGTCCCCCGAGCTGAGTGAGATCCTGCTGAAGGGGAACCTAGAGCCTTCCAAAAGCGCCGAGAGCCAAGGCTAGGGAGGAAGGCTGCGTGCCTGGGGGGCGGCCGCAGGATGCTCTCGACCCCCCCCCAACTCAAGCAGCGTTTTCCTACGCCCGCAACCACGGTGCAAATCTTTTCCCCTGCTCCTTCAAAGCCTTGAGGGTAGAGGGGATGCTGATTCCTGTCTCAAATCTGCCTTCCTGCTCAATAATTAATCTCCTTGTATCGAGAGAATGAATTTAGAGTGTCACCTAGAGTTAATCTGGAGTCCCACGGGCCCGGTAGCACCCGGTGAGGTGTTGTGCTCTGCTCTGGCCAGGAACTGGGTGCCCACGTGTAGTTGTGTTTTGCGTTGAAGCAGAGATTTTTGTCCCTAACCGAAAATTAGGGAGGGCCGCTTTGACAGCAGGGGGTACCTGGCGTGGCAGAACTGGTGGTTTGTGGGACGGGCCCAGTGCAACCTGGTCGCTCTGTGCTTTCCTCTTTGTTCTGCCCCCAGCAAAGAGGAACCGGGCTCTTTCCTCGCCCACTCCTTTCTATGCAAAACCAGGCCGGCGCGCTTAGATTTCTCTGTGAGATTGCAGACCTTTAGCTTTTTAAGTCTGGGTAATTGCTGCAGGGAGGGAGGCGGTGGCTCGTCCTGGGAGCTGCCTGATGGGTTCTGCTTTTTTCCCCTCGAGGTGGTTGAGTGGATGGGTTTTGGCTTCTGCCCAGTCTGGGCTCCTGGAGCTGGAGCGGTAACGAGTTTCCACGCTAACGCAGATGTAGGTGGAGGGTGTGCAGGCTGGGCTGGAGGGAAGCGAGTCCCCGAGCCAGCTCTGAGGGTCCATCAAGGGACAGTGGCGTCCTCGGGAGCGATGTGAGCATCCCCATTGGGCAGACACAAAAAAAGTCCTAAATTTGATAGGTGAGGCTTACAACCCTGAGAGAAGCGGCAGCCAAACACAGGCTGGATCCTCGCCTTGGTTTCTCCTTTTATTAGTCCAGAAACGATTGAAATTTAGCCAAAAATGCCATTCTGGCTGCATGTCGTCGCAGCCCAGAGCTCGTATTACAAATCCTCCCCGCAGACGGAGCCTCGGCTCTTTTGTTGCGCCCTCTCAGGACAAAGCCGTAGCATTAACACTCGTCTTTTCATCAGAGAAATATTAAAATCCCTCTCAAAATATCCCGGGGCGCTTTCCCTCCACTCTGAAGCTGGCGCTTTGTTGGGTCTGTTTGGTTTTAGGTTGTTGTTTCGGATTGGTTTTTGTTCCTGGCGGCAGTGATTTTCCTCCCACTTCTTCTTGTTGGCGCAGCCACTTTGAGAGGCGAGAGGCCGGGAATGCACCTCATGTTTATGCATGCAGGGCGCGTTGACGAGGCCGTCGAGCGAACACCGAGCTCGGCGCTGGCGTCACAAACCGTTTTGGCCGCTCAGAGAGCGGGGAGAGGAAGGGAACCGCGCTCCCAGGCGGTTGAGTTCACAGAATCCCAGAATGTTAGGGATTGGAAGGGACCTCCAAAGCTCCTCCAGTCCAATCCCCCTGCCGCAGCAGGAACACCCAGATGAGGTTACACAGGAAGGCGTCCAGGCGGGTTTTGAATGTCTGCAGAGAAGGAGACTCCACAACCTCTCTGGGCAGCCTGGGCCAGGGCTCTGTCACCCTCACTGAGAAGAAGTTTCTTCTCCAATTTCAGTGGAACCTCCTGTGTTCCAGTTTGTGCCCATTACCCCTTGTCCTATCATTGTTTGTCACCGAGAAGAGCCTGGCTCCATCCTCGTGACACTCACCCTTGAAATATTTATAACCATGAATGAGGTCTCCCCTCAGTCTCCTCTTCTGCAAACTCAAGAGCCCCAGCTCCCTCAGCCGCTCCTCAGAAGGGAGATGCTCCACTCCCTTGATCATCTTTGTAGCCCTACGCTGGACTCTCTCCAGCAGTTCCTGTCCTTCTTGAACTGAGGGGCCCAGAACTGGACGCAATATTCCAGATGTGGTCTCACCAGGGCAGAGTAGAGGGGGAGGAGAACCTCTCTGCACTACAACCACCCCTCCTGATACACCCCAGGATGCCAGGAGTTCTTACGGTGCTGTTAAGCTTTCCCACCGAAACCAGAAAACGCCCAAATCTCTGCTTGCTTCTAAATAATCCCAAATAATTTCCCCACGCGGCTGCGGTGGTTTGTACGGCCGGGGCCGTTTGGTTGTGACAGAGAGGAAATACCCCCCTCGCCTGTGAAATCCTTTTGATTTCTATCAATAATAATTAACAGACGCCTGCTCCTCTGGCACCTCGCTGCCTTTGGGCTCCTTGCTGCCTCCTGCCACGCCAACCTCCGTGTCCGTCCACCCCTTCACGGCTGTGCGGGGTCGGGGGGGGGTTTCTCTTTGCAGTGGAGGACCTGGAGCGGAACGACGGCTCGGCCGAAAAGCCTTACTTCATGTCGCCCGACCTGAAAAAGCTCCTGAAGAAGACGAACAAAAGCCAGACGGATGCTTAAAGCCGCTCCTCGTCCTTTCCGCGCCTCCTCTTCCCCCGCGGAGCCGCAGGATAACGCCCAGCGCTCAACGTCGTTTGTCCCACGTGGAAATCTCCTTTAATGAACTTTCCTGTCCCCCTGCGGCAGGCAAGCAGCAAAAGTGGGGGGCGCTGAAGAGAGGAATTGGGTATTTTTAATGATTTGGCCTTAAATCGGGGGGGGTTGCTAAATGAAGACGCAGCAAACGACCTCTTGGTCCCCAGCGCTGGCGCTGAGAAAAAGCGGCGGGGAAATATCTCTGGCGCGGGGCACGGCCCCCTCTTCCGAAGCGTCGACCGACGCCAAAACGAGTTTAATTGGATTTAATAATTTTTTCTTTGAAAAATGAGGATGTTTCCTTCAGGTCGGCTGCGTTCGGCCATGCCTCGGCGCGTGGGTGAACCCGACGTGGTTTGGTTTGCTTTGCAGCACCCCACCCCC